ATTTAATAAGTTCAACTACGGTAAAACATCCAAAATGTCAGAAATCCTAAGTGAATGTTTCAAAAAGAAGAGCTTTAATAGCTGGATCATGGGTATCGAACATAATGGAGATTTCAGTTTTGCTGGGAAAAACATAAATATCAAGCATTGTAAACACCCTAAATCCTACTATGATTTCAATAAAAATAGAAGCTTTTCATTTTATAAATGAATCTTGAAGTAAGAGGTGGATTTTAAAAAACTCATACTAACATGACGGATTGTCATGAGGTGGGGTAGCGAATTTCCAATAGTGATGCTCATATTTGCTACATCATTCGGCGAAAATCACCGGTACAATAAATCTTGACTAAAAACATCGTACCGTTATTATGTTTTGGAATTTGTTTGATGTGTGGAGTCTGTGTGTCTGTCTGTGTTTCAAAAACTGTCGAGGGGCAGATATTTGATCAGTTGATTCAAATCTATGTCTAAAATTTCTTTACAATAGTACATCATCATGGCTCTGTAATTAGATTTTAAAACTAAGTAAAAATTGAATACCAGTTAGATGGCGACGGGACAATTTGACAGTATAATAGCTGGTTAGTTAGTTACATATCGTTTGTAAGATTAAATTCAAAACTAAGATGAATGTACACAATCGGTTAATCAGTATGAATAGTTACATAACAGTAGGATTAACCATTGAAATTAAGTGAAAATACATGTTATATTATCCTTAAAATAATAATAAATGATAGGTTTGTTGAATAGGTTACTTAAGACTAGATTCGAGGATTAAAATTTTAACTTCAGCAAAGTTAAAAGGAAGGAAGAAAAAGGTTTTGAAACGTATAACGGTAACCATATAGAAGGCCAGGGTAGATTAGGAAGCTGCATTCACTTTTTTGTATACAAAGATTAGGCTGACTAGTGTATATTCCCACGGCATCTGCTGTGTTAAAAGTCAGATTCTGGAACCATAAGGTCAATTCGAGAGGATCTCATGAACAACTCTGAACGTTTAAGTCTTGTCTAGGTGGTGACAGTGCCAACTACATTGGACAAAATGGAGTTTCGTGTTACTCTCCTTTATCTTTTAGTCCACCATGAGTGGTGATGATTCGAAGTACAACGATATAATTTTGTACATCGGTGAGCAGACATAGTTGATGTGAAAAAATTCGAACCGGCATGTGTACGGAGATAAGTTTTTATAACCTTGAATTGACCCTGGTAATCTTTAAGCCACTTTATGGCCTAGGGTAATGTGATAATTTTCGATTCTTTCTACAGTGTGTTAACTCCACCCGCAGCAAGTTCGGGGTTGTTAACGTTCCTAAACCCGGATAAAGGAGGGGGGTTAAGCATGGAGTTAGCAACCCCATCCCGAAGAAAATCAACTGACTGAAAAACGCTGACGCGAAAACCTAATTCAAACTATTTAAACTATGTCCTGAGAGTTAGAACGTCTTCATTCAGAAAAGCCATGACGTCTCATGATGAAAGCAGAATTTCTTTGGAAGTCTTGGCGTAGAGAAACCATTCTTTTAGGTACATAGAATGTTTGCATAGTGTGGGAGACAGGGAGAGTTATCCAAGTTTCGTAAGGATTATTCTTCAACCCTATCACCCATTTGGTTGCTCATCTCTGCACTCGATCCAAGAGATTTATGTCTCTCTTAAGCAAAGGGGGTGCGATGACATTGTGAACTTCCAGGTGTGGGCGAGCGTACATCTTAAATAGTGTCAAAAATAATTGCGGGGTGATAGCATCAAGTTGTCTTCGCATAAAGTGCAGAGTCTCATTTGCCTTGGCTGCGTCCCCTAAGTAGTTCGGACTCGTGTGGAGGCTTTCTGTGGTTATTAAACCGAGATCGCGCCCTGAGGAGACATTAGGGGGCGGACTTCCATTGAGGGCATAGATCGTTTGCGACGCAGAATATGCATGACGTGGCACTTCGGTTGATGGAGATTTAAACCGTTTTTCACCGCCCATTTTCAATAGATGTAAGGTCCATTTGAAGCTCAGTCGAATCCTCTTCGCATCGTCTGCGTAGATCACAAACGTTTAACACGGCCTGTCCTTGGGATAGTGAAAAACTCGACGTATTCGAGATGGCTCTAAGCAACAAGGTCCAGGCCTAACATAATTAACTTGATGGACAAGAAACCACCATGAAGAAAAACAGAAAAATAATCAAAGAAATAAAACCTCCACAAGTCGTAAGGTTCTGGGCCACAAGAAGTATCATCATAAAGAATGGATTTCTGTTGAGACACTGGATAAAGTTCAGAAAAAAACGACTCATGAGAACTAGCACACAACGCATAAGCTGAATACACCGAAGCAAAGAAGCAAGTGGAAAGGAGTATTGGAACCGATAAACTTAATTATGCGTAAGATCTAGCAATGATAGCATAAAATGCCACAAGAGAAAGAAAAATGCGACAACTATTCGATGCAGCAAGGAAGCTAGTTCGACAATAAATTTAATTCATATTCATGTTCTCTTAGTAAACCATGAATAAGTTCTAGTTCCTCATTAAGACTATCGTCAGAACAAAAGATTTTGGTTTGACTCTGTGGATCAAGCTTTTGACTGTGTTTCTCTTGTAATGTGGTAGGGAAAGGCTCAGAAAGTGTGTCTATAAGCTTTTTATAGTCTGTTCACTTTTGTATTAACCCGTCAGTTCTTCTTGTTAATAGAATTTTCAGAAAATAGACATTGCACTTCTCTTCTTTAATTGTGAAAATGATCGCCTGGTGGATTTGCTTAGGTTTTTAGTAACTTCTGAGCATCTACATTGTTTCTGTAACTATAGATGTATGAACTAACTGAAGACAAATGTTTATTTAATAATCCTGTCTTCCTAAGATCTCAGTAGTTATATTTATCAAAATTATTTGGTTAGTTGTTCCCAACCACCACTTGAGCATCATATAACGACTGATTTTGATACTTCAGCAGCTACATTTAGAACCAATTACCCGTGAAGTTTATGCCAATCTATATTTCCTTTTATACATAATTATGTGTCTGATTTGATTTTCAAACACAACATTTCCAGTTGTGTTTGCTCTGTTCCTTGACTTTGACATTGGCATTTATATGATTCTTAGCCATACAGAATTCCATTATCACTGAAAACCACATTGTCTTCCATTTATCATGGGGTAATTTATGATTGTTTATAAGTGGCTGCAATAATCTAATGCGACCACTAGAGTGAAATCAAACCCTGGATTCAGAATGAATCTAATGTCGTTGATTTTTCGTGTTGATTCAGAATCACCAATTTTTGAGACTTGAAAAACTAACTTATCAGCATTTTTGGTTTTTTTTTTCACTTAGTTTTAGTTACATCTCAGTTTTTAGAGAACACAGGTGTAGTTAAAAGTTTATCTTTTTAAACTTAACCATAAAGTTCAAGTCCATAATTTGCACTGCAGTTTTCTTCTTTGTGGTCAATCAAAAAGACTGCTTAAGGGCTCCAAAACAATCAATTAATCAAACAATATATATCAGAAGAATAATCAGTTTACATATTTAGACTTTCATGAACTTTTATTCTGAGGAAGCAGGTAAAAGTGATGTAACCACAGTGATATTCATCGGTTTCAGGATCCATACTATTAAAGTATTCTGAAAAAAATTCTCACTCGTCAGAGTAGAAAAAAGAATATACATAAAAAACAATTTCCGATCATTATATGGACTTCAGTTTAAATAGTTTATGAGTAAATACGTAACAAAAATAAGGACTTTTGAGAAAGGTAAACTGACCGATAATTTGTATTTCTACACATTTGTCTGAAGTTTTATGTATTTAGCGCACAGAGGATTTAAATTTTAAAGTCGATTTTCCTTGAGAAATGAAACGATCTATTTGCGGAACACTCTTGAGAGAAAAAAGGACTTTCACTGAAAATCAGGATGAAGCGATTACTGATAGCTGAAGTTAGTTCTATCAATTTCGGAGGGACGTATATAAAAAGTGCATGAATTAAGAGAAACAAGCTTCGACCTAGGGTAGCCAGAAATCACTACAAAAACTTTTTCTTTCGCTAATATAATCTGTTAAGTTCTTGTTGAAGCGGACAAAACTTATCCTTCTGAACACTATAGAATGTCTAAAAGAAGATTATTACTGGGAGCTTTGACTTTGAATTTTCACCTGAATGTAAGCTGAAACCCTAGTCACTTCCAACTAAGTGTTATTCGGGATAGTCTTGTGGAATAATGTGGGAATAAATTTGTGAAATAATGTGAGATAATTTAAAAAGGCTGAAAACCTAAAAATATAGAGCACTGCTACTCATCAATCTATCAGTGATATTGGAAAGCAATCACTAAGTATATCTCGTCTGCGAAACAAGCATTCGAAGGTGGTACAATTTTCCATGTATTATTTGCAGAACAGTCATACTGAAGAAGTCATACATATCGTCTGCACTACCTTTAACAAGGTTCTTGTCAGACTTTAGCACAGTATGATTCAGTCAGTCAGTTACAACGCCAAACTTCGTGCGTACATCAGAACAAGTCGCTATACCACATTAGCATACAGAATGCCACAGGCAAAGTTAAAGCATTCAAAAAATTTGTGCAAAAATTTATAAAAACCTGACATGTTTTAACTGAACTATTGATGAAACTGTGAGGTCTGTAACGTTTATTTAGCGATTATTGTTCTAATTGTGACCTAAAAACTCCATGTGAAAATCCAACTACATATTCATTCTTCAAAAATTGCTGTCTTAAAAGACCGATTGATCAAGGAGATTTGACTTGGCAGCAATAACATGACCTGGTATGGCTTAAAAATATGTCATATGAAATACATATGTGTACATGATATCTTAATACATTACATACGCCTACTATAAAGTATCATCGGTACTACTGAATTAAATACAAGTACATGATTCAGAATATTGTAGTTAATCCCAATCTGCTGTTGGAGTACCATTTGTATACCACGATTTTGCATATTAATAGTTTACATTAACTTACGGTTGATCTGGCGACAGTTCATAATGCAGTTTACGTATAACCGCATAAGCTGGTATACTGCTTGTACTCAGTGCTCTTGTGTATTTCCCTCTGTTTGTCATTGTTATATGAAAAATATCTGACAGCAACAACTGATACACAGTTTGAAAATGTGCTAAAATTGTTTACAAAATCCAATAATCAATATTTTTTCACTGGCTAGTTTAAATCAATTTATTTCTCTGCACTGGATTATTGTTCTTTTCGTACGGTTACAGATGTTTGATAGTGTCTAAAGAATGGGGGTTCAGCCACTCGATTGACTAATTCTAGTCAGTTGGTAGTTGGATGTGAGTTTGTATGTCTAGGGATTTGAGTGGAAACGTTTGTTTCAGGGCAGTAGGGTTTCTGGATACCAGCAGCCATCATGTTACCAGGCCGGAGATCAGTTGGAGAAAAATAAGAAGAAAATTATGATGAGAAAAGGAAATTTTCAGAACTAATTATCTAAATGGATAAATAAGTTAGTTAACTCCGCCAGTAGAACCTTAGGGGCTACTGCCGGTCCCAAGCCCGGATAAAGGAGGAGGGTTGGACATGGGGTTGGCGGCCCCATTCCGTTGAAATCTAACTTGCCAAAAAACGCTAACCAGAAAAAATCATTCAAACCATTTTAACTCTGCCCTGGGAGTTGGAAGAAGAATTATGACGTCTCGTGATGAAAGCCGAGTCCCCTCGGAAGTCACGGGGCCGATGCCTCTTCTGACAACCAGAGCAACCATTTTTTTAGGTACATGGAACGTTCGTACATTGTGGGAGACTGGAAGACTATTTCAAGTTGCGGCAGAAATGAAAAGATACAACCTCGAGGTGCTCGGCATCAGTGAAACACATTGGACACAGGTAGGACAACTGAGACTTGCTTCAGGGGAACTGCTGTTATACTCTGGTCATGAAGAGGAAAACGCTTCACATACACAAGGAGTTGCACTGATGCTGTCCAAACATGCACAAAAGGCACTGATAGAATGGGAATCTCATGGACCCAGGATCATTAAAGCATCCTTCAAAACGAAGAAAGAGGACATTACAATGAACGTCATCCAATGTTATGCACCTACCAATGACAACAATGACGACGTTAAAGATCAATTCTACGGAATGCTGCAGTCAATCGTCGAGAAATGTTCACCAAAGGATTTGACGATTCTTATGGGAGACCTGAATGCCAAGGTTGGAATGGACAACACTGGATATGAAGACATCATGGGACGACATGGACTGGGAGAAAGGAACGAAAACGGTGAGAGATTTGCAAACCTATGTGCCTTCAACAAACTGGTCATCGGTGGCACAATATTCCCGCACAAACGCATACACAAAGCCACATGGATTTCACCGGATCACACTACTCAAAACCAAATCGACCATATCTGTATCAACAAAAAGTTCAGAAGGACTATGGAGGATGTGAGAACCAGGAGAGGAGCTGATATAGCTTCAGATCACCACTTGCTGATCGCCAAAATGAGATTGAAGCTAAAGAAGCACTGGACAGCGGGGCAGACAACATCACAGAAGTTTATTACAGCCTTTCTTCGGGATACAGTAAAACTCAACGAATTCAAGATAGCCCTCACCAATAGGTTCCAGGCCTTTCAGGATCTACTCAATGGAGAGGAAGCAACATTGGAGAACAATTGGAAAGGGATTAAGGAGGCAATCACTTCAACATGTCAGGAGGTCCTTGGTCGCAAGAAGCACCATCACAAGGAATGGATCTCTGTTGGTACTCTTGAAAAAATTCAAGAAAGGAGGAACAAGAAGGCAGCTATCAATGTCTGCCGAACAAGAGCAGAGAAAGTTAAGGCGCAAGCCGAGTATACAGAAGCAAACAGGGAAGTGAAGAAGAGCATCAGAGCTGACAAACGAAAATATGTGGATTATCTAGCAATGACGGCGGAAAAGGCTGCAAGAGAAGGAAACTTGAAACAATTGTACGAAACTACAAAGAAGCTCGCCGGAAACTATCGTAAACCAGAACGACCAGTGAAAAGCAAGGAAGGGAAAATAATCAGCAACACTGACGAACAGCGAAATAGGTGGGTGGAGCACTTTAAGGAACTATTGAATCGACCAGCTCCACTGAACCCACCCAACATCGAAGCAGCATCCAAGGACCTCCCAATTAATATTGGCGCACCTACGATTGAGGAGATCAGTATAGCCATCAGACAAATCAAGAGCGGCAAAGCAGCAGGACCAGACAACATTCCAGCAGAGGCAATGAAAGCAGATGTGGAAGCAACTGCGAAAATATTTCACATTCTCTTCAAGAAGATTTGGGATGAGGAACAAGTACCATCAGATTGGAAAGAGGGATACCTCATCAAAATACCAAAGAAAGGCGATCTCAGCAAGTGTGAAAACTACAGAGGCATCACTCTTCTTTCAATACCAGGCAAAGTCTTCAACAGAGTATTGCTAAACAGAATGAAGGACTTCGTAGACGCCCAACTTCGAGATCAACAAGCTGGATTTCGTAAGGATCGATCGTGTACTGACCAAATTGCTACATTACGGATCATTGTGGAACAATCAATTGGATGGGACTCACCACTCTACATCAACTTCATCGACTACGAGAAAGCATTCGATAGCGTGGATAGGAAAACACTGTGGAGGCTTCTTCGACACTACGGTGTGCCTGAGAAAATAGTCAACATCATACGGAACTCTTATGATGGATTCAACTGCAAAATCGTGCACGGAGGGCAGCTAACCGACTCTTTCGAGGTGAAGACCGGTGTCAGGCAAGGTTGCTTACTCTCACCCTTTCTCTTTCTCCTGGTGATCGACTGGATTATGAAGACGTCAACATCTGGAGGGAAGCACGGTATCAACTGGACAGTTAGGACGCAGCTGGACGATCTGGACTTCGCAGATGACCTGGCTGTTCTATCGCACACTCAACAACAAACGCAAGAGAAGACGACGAGTGTAGCAGCAGCCTCAACAGCAGTAGGTCTCAACATACATAGAGGAAAAAGCAAAATTCTCCGATGCAACACAACATGCACCAACCAAATCACTCTTGATGGGGATGCCTTGGAGGACGTTAACACCTTACGTATCTTGGCAGCATCATCGACGAGAAAGGTGGATCGGACGCAGATGTGAGGACGCGGATTGGCAAAGCGAGGGCTGCATTTCTACAGATGAAAAATATCTGGAACTCCAAACAACTTTCAACCAAAACCAAAATCAGGATTTTCAATACAAATGTCAAGACAGTTTTACTGTATGGAGCGGAAACTTGGAGAACTACGAAAGCCATCATCCAGAAGATACAAGTGTTTATTAACAGTTGTCTACGCACAGTACTTCGTATTCGTTGGCCAGACACCATCAGCAACAACGAACTGTGGGAGAGAACAAGTCAGATTCCAATGGAGGAGGAAATCAGGAAGAAGCGGTGGAAATGGATAGGACATACACTACGAAAAGCACCCAACTGCGTCACGAGACAAGCCCTCACATGGAACCCTCAAGGTAAAAGGAAAAGAGGAAGGCCAAAGAACACACTACGCCGAGAAATAGAGAAAGATATGAGAGGAATGAACAAACATTGGACAGAACTGGAGAGGGAAGCCCAGGACAGAGTTGGTTGGAGAAAACTGGTGAGCGGCCTATGCTCCATTGGGGGTAACAGGAGTACGTAAGTAAGTAAATAATAAATAAGTTAGTTATGGGTAGTGAAGAATGTGTGGGAGGAGAGAGGTATAACTACAGAAGAGGAAACAGAGATAGTAAATGGGATATATTCAGTTAATTATCTGAGGAAAAGATAATAATAACAACCAGCAAGTTTCGGCGCATGCATCAGGAGCAGCTGGTCCACGAGTGAGATGATATTCCATGAGTTGGTACGTGTTTATCAAGTCTCCCCTCGAGACTTCCACTGAGGGAACTGTGGTCACCTCGTCTGGGAGAGCATTCCAAGCTGCAAAAACTCTTCATGGGAGAAAGCGTTCATGAACCGGGTGTTCGCTTTTTAATGCGCAACTTTTTAAGGATTAGCTCGTGATGGGTGGCGGTGAAGGTTTTGCATGATGCTCAACATATTCACTTGATGGCGTTTTTTAATACTGCACATCAAGCTTGGCAGAATGTGTAATAATGACTTTTTTCTTCGAATTATTTGACTAGCAGAGATTCCGGAGAGTAATTATAAATATTGAGTTTGCAAACTACCATTAATTTTTCTTCCGCGAAAATGTAGACACCAAAGTTACGAGCAACTAACCTATTTGTGAGGGATGAATAACCTTTTTCTAATGCTGTGCTGCTTTTCTGACATTGTCTGGTTCTCGTTTAGTTACTTAAGCAGCTCCGTAAGAATAATCTCAAAAATATTCTTTTTACTTATACTTATTATTCACAATCATATAAATTAACCCTCTATTGTTGGGAGAACCAGGAAGACTGTCCACGAGTTAGCATTTCAACGTAAACAGTACAGCCTAATCCTGTGGCTTAACAACAGAGGTACGTGGCACCTTGGTGGGCCAGGGCGGTAGTGGAAATATTCACTGGGTTGATCATTTTTAATTCGTGTCACGTACTTCTTTGAAGACAGAACTCTTTCACGTCTTTTGGTAATCTAATTTGTATGAAAGATAGATCAAAACATATGCCTTAGGTATATGCAGTAAAATTAGCAAGCTACTTGAGTAATCTAAGATTTAGGTAGATCAATCTCATTTAATGGAGAAAAGACAAAGAGTTCCTTGATGTTCAAAATGTCCAGAGTGGATATGAAGTGGTTTGCATGATCTTAAAGAAAGGGCAACTTTAAAGAAAATGCACCGCTAAAGTGGTTTGAGTAAACCTGAGCTTAACCATAATCGCCGTCCAACAACAATGTAGTATTACAATATTGCCATAATTATGGTAAACTGCCTATTCCTGAAGTCTGTTGATTTATGTAAGAGTATAGCCGTTTTAGGTATTCTATAGAATATAAATTGCGTTCTGACTGTGTTTAATGAAAAAGTTGTAGATAATTCAGCCTAAAGAGCATTCTATTCTAGATGTAATTTCAGTGAAGAAAACTGCCACCCGGTCCATGTTTCCACATCTTCATATGTAACCCTTCGATAACCAGCTGGCAAGGTGCTTTGGAC